AGGGGTGGAGGGCGATGCCCTGGGTGTTTTTGTCCCTTCCAGCCTGTCGCCTCCTCCCCGGCAGGGCCTGTCCACCCCTGTGCCAGCACTGTGCAGTGTGGGCCCGGCCCCTACCTGATGCCATATCTGGCCTGACCACTTGGGAGTGGCTGGCCCTGGGGGGGCAGGACCTGCCCTGCCAGCAAGGGTCAGGGTGTGGGGATTGGCGGGGATCACCCCGAGTCTCCTCAGGCTGTCAGTTTGGCCTTAGATGCTGGAAGCTCGATCTCGTCCAGCCAGCACCAGGGGTCACATGAGGAGTGTGTGGTTTAGTGCTTCGTGGCATGGGTGTTTGGTTAAGTTGGTGCTGTAACGGTAAAAAAAAAAAAAAGTTTGGGGAAACTAACTGAAACTGAAGTCCATAGTTCCCAAAAGAGCAGTGAGCTAATAATGTTTGCTGTCAGTTACACTGCTGGTAGGAATGGCCCCAGGTGATTGTTAATCGCCCCTGCCCCATGGTCAGGCAAGTTTCTATATTGCATTCTAGCTCTCGCTGGCAGGGCAGTGGGGACAGAGCTGCTGGCTGGATTTCTACATGTGTGTTATAGCCCTTGCTGGCAGGGATGCAGGGTCTCTGAGCAGTTCACTAAGTGTGTGTTGTAGCCCTCGCTGGCAGGGTGCGGGGTTGCTTGGTGGCTTTCTGTGTGTGTTGTAACTGTCACTGACAGGGCGGTAGGTATGGGGTCATTAGGTGGGTGTCTACATGTGTATCGTAGCCCTTGATGGCAAGGTGATGGATACAGGGCTGCTGATCTCAGCCTGAATAGCTGGGTGCTGCCTAATGCAGGGTTTCTCAAACTGGAAGTCGGGACCCCTCAGGGTTGTGAGGTTATTACACGGGGGGTTGTGAGCTGTCAGCCTCCACCCCAAACCCGGCTTTGCCTCCAGCATTTATAATGGTGTCAAATATATAAAAAAGTGTTTTTAATTTCGGAGGGGGGGTCACACTCTGAGGCTTGCTATGTGAAAGGGGTTACCAGTGCAAAAGTTTGAGAACCACTGGTCTAATGGGTCAGGTTATCTCTGGTAGCCTGTTGATGCATCGTATTTATTTAGGGGTTTCTTTATTGGATTGCAGGCCTGCAGTGCTTTTCCTTATCTCCTCACAGCTCTCTGATGCTTTTGTTTATTGTCTGGCCTGTGGCTGTCTGATCAGTATGGGCTGTTTCTGCCTTTCCAAAGTAGGAGTGGAAGCTGTTGTGGTGGTTGGTTGTGTTCATCTCTTCTGAGTTGTCTGCTCAGCCCCTGTGTCCTTTGCTCCTGTTGCGAGTGACTGGATTCTTCACCTATCGCAGACATGGCATCTTGGAGTTGCGTAGTGGCAGTCATAGTTTGGGAGCAAGGGGTCTGTAGGTTGTGGAGGTAGGTGCTGGAAAGGATAGCAATGATGTTCTACTCTGCGGTTTATTCCCTTTTTGTGCTTGGTGTATTACTGGCGTCTGACCTTGGATGCAGCCCTGCACAGATTTAATTACAGCATGTTCTGCTTTGGAGCAGAAGGCTGAGTCTTGGGTAACAGATTGACTCAGTCGCTCTCCGTGGATGTACCAGGTCTTGGAGAATTGGACACACGTGAACAGCTGGGCCAGACTCTGCCCATCACTGGCAAAGCAGTATCTAGCCCCATCCAGCGCTCCCAGGAGACCATTCTGCCATTCGCATGGTGGAGGCTAATGTCTTCTCTTGCACTTCACACCCCCCCTCCCCACAGACCCTATGGTTTCCCTGACCGAGCCCACTGAAAAGCCTTCTGCCCTGTTTGCCTTAATGATGTGATAATTTCACCATGGGCAGCCCCCAGCTCCTAGTCCCGTCAGTGCCCGGTTGGTGCCTTGCTGGAATGCCAATCGGTATCTGGCAGAAGGGAAGCAAAGGTCCTTGTCCAGCTGTGCAGTGGGCCACCCTGCCAGTTTCCTGAATTTCAGGTTCTAAAACGGGGGTGGGCAAACTTTTTGGTCTGAGGGCCACATTGGGATACGGAAATTGTATGGCGGGCCATGAATGCTCACAAAATTGGGGGTAGGGGTGCAGGAGGGGTGAGGGCTCTGGCTGGAGGTGTGAGCTCTGGGGTGGGGCCAGAAATGAGGCGTTCAGGCTGTGGGAGGGGGCTCCAGGCTGGGACTGAGGGGTTTGGAGGGCGGGAGGGGGATCAGGGCTGGGGCAGCACAGAGAGCTGCCTGCCCTCGCTTCCTTGTACTACTTAGGAGCCTGGGGGGGGGGGGGGTCATGCTGGCTACTTCCTGGGAGCCGCGCGGAGTGGGGCAAGTCCCAGACCTCGTTCCCCGGCTGGAACACCGGAGCAGGGCAAACCCCCAAGCCCGCTCCCTAGTGGGAGCTGAGGACCAGATTAAATGGGCTGATGGGCTGAATGTGGCCGACGGGCTGTAGTTTGCCCACCCCTGTTCTAAAAGAAGCTTTGAGAGGAAAATAAAGCTCTTAAAATACAGTTGTTACAACGAATTCTGTGCCAATGGCCTCCACGCGTTCAGCGCAGTGACGGAAGGGACCGAGTGCAGAGCTTGAAGCCTGGGCTTCCTGCCTGGTTTGGGCAGGCGCCAGGAATCAGTGGCATAGCATTCTGGGAGTTTCCACGGTGGGGGTGGTACTCAGGGCTCCTGCACAGCAGGGATCTGGTCTCAGCTCAACCCGGGGGCTTCCTGTATAGTAGGTGACTAAGCAGTGTGGTCTCTGGGGAATTTCCTCGGCGAGATTCGCAGCTGGGCAGTGGTAGTGCTGGAGCTGCTGTGCTGTCTGCCCCCAGAACGGCCTGCAGCTTCTTGGCTCTACCTGGGCAAGAGCAGCAGGGGCACGGGCTGTCCCTCTTCCTCCTTTGGGTCATGCCCACAGCTGGCAATGTCATGCACCTGCTCTGCCTCCACTTCCCTCCTTAAGACATGCTGCCTACAAGCAATCAGCCGGCCCAGAGTCTTGGAGAGAGCTGAGTTTTATTTATTCATGAAAGAGAAAACTTGGCAGTGAGTCCGAGCTGCTTGGTTGTGCACACGGCCTGTTGCTGCCATGCGTAGCCACTGTTTCTTTTTCATTACTCTCCTCCTCCCTCCGCTTGGTACGGTCACTTGAGTCATGTGTGAAGTTCGGTTGTAATCGTTTGGGGGCTGGGGCTGTGCTGTCTGGATGGCACCCCAGGACTGTGAGCAGAGTCTGCGAGTGCCTTCCCAGGACAAGTTGCAGTGACCAGCCCAGGGGGGTGTATGGAGCTGCTGTTTGTGGAGCAGGAGATGTATTACGTCCACACGGTTCCCCTCCCCAGCTTCCTTTGGTAGCAGGGGCTCTTCCCTGGATGCGGGCCACTGACGTGACTGTCACTTTTCCTTCCTTCGCCCAGATGAACCCGAGGTGGCTGGGGAGGTTCCCAGAACGGCTCCAAACCCGCCCCAAATGACTGCACCTGCTGGACTGGCAGCTGTCAAGCCAACAGGTAGGTGGGGCATTTCTCCTCCCTTCGCTCTCCCTAGGATTTAGCTCAGTCTGCAGTTACTAAGGGCAAGCAGCCAAGTCTGTGTCTGTCTGGCACTGGACGCTCTAGGCGCAACGTGCTGTCGTTGGAAGGCAGCTGGCAAAGGCAGACATGGCGTTTGGGCCCTGGTCTGTTTGGGTGTGGAGGCGGCGTTACCGGATCATTCAAAGCAAGTGCCTCTTGCTTGTGCTTTGCCTTGGAAGGCTCAGGGGTGTGGGGTCTTTCTGCACTGAAGGATTTCCCAGATGACTCAGTGGATTGGGAGCTTCCTCCGCTCTAATTGATGACGTGGAGGTGTTGAGTCTTTAGCCAGATATTTGTTCCAACCCTTTGGCTTTGTTTTGGTCGCTCAGAGTCTCATGCAGCTTGAATAAAAATCCCTTCCCACCTCAGTCAGGGTATGTCTGTGCTTAAAATGGCACTCCTGTGTAGACATTACCTACGGCGAAGGGAGGGGTTCTCCCATCGCCATAGTTAATCCACCTCCCCGAGAGGTGGTAGCTAGGTCAGTGGAAAAATTCTTCCTGCGTGCACCAGGAATTAGGTCAGTATAGCTACGTCTCAGGGGTGTGAAGTTTTCACACGTAAGCTATACTGATATACAATCCTCGTGCAGACCAGGCCTCGGTTAGGTTCAAGTGTCAAACCCGCTAATCCTCCATAGACACTTCTGTCTAGCTGGTTTTTCCAGAGACCTGGATTTGTAACATGAAAAGCAAATGGAAGAAACTCTTCAGGCCCCTTGTTAGTGACCATTATGAAACAAAACAAGGGGCAGATACAATTGTTTTTCCTCCCTCTGTGCTCACCTTTAGGGCCCATCAGGGAGCCGGCTTTTGGAATTTGTGCGTATCATTGAGCTCAACACCCCAGGTTGGAATCCGGAGCTGTGTGCTCTGATGGCACCTGGAGGGAACGGCTCCATCTCAGTGGAAAGGTTGCTGGCAGAGAGCTTTTTTCATTTACAGCAGTCCCGTGCTTATGGCCTGATTTAGCTCCAGCAACCTGTGGACTGTTAAATCTGTTTTGCTACTTTTCAGATTTATTCAGTAGTTAAACAGTTGAAATGCCTACAACTCTGGGATAGCAACTGGCTTTCCTGATTTGTAGTGCTGCTCACAACAATTACCTTGATAAGCTTTAAATCGTACAGCGCTGGCACATTCCGGACTGCCCCGAATGAGTACTTAGGCGGGAGTTCTCTGCTTTGGAGACTGAAAGGTCACAGGGGTCTGGTAGGGATGTGTGGGACCCGCATGGCACATTCAGCATAGCGAGCTTCTAGCCTCCACGGTTGCAAAGTTGCATCTTGTTTTAAATGAGATTGTAAGCCCTTTGGGGCAGGGACCGCGTCTTCGGTGTATCTGTACCACAGTATGAGTAATGCTCACCATCTCGGAGGAGCAGGCTGTGTCGATGGCTCAGTGATGCTTCCTACGTACCTTGGGAGTGTTGCCTCTCCTTGTGCACATGGTGCGAGAGGTGAGAACTGGCAAGAGAGCTGTAGCTTGGAAGCAGGGTATGCGTGGTGTTCAGTTGCCCAAAACCAGTGAGCTCTTTCTGCGCCCCCAGAACAGCTGTGTGTGCATTGTGTGGCATTCTGAGTTTGCTCAGCGAATCCTGGCAGGTGGCTGTTACACAGATTGCATTTGAAATACTTTCTCTGTCCTCTGCTTTAAACCCAGGCAGCCGAGGGTGGAGGGAAACTCTCACTGGTAACTCTCCTCTGCCTAGGTGGCTTATGTTTGCTCGGTGCATACGCAGACAGTGATGATGAGGAGGGAGAGGCACCTGAGAAATCAGTGCCGTCCACAGATGCAAACGGCAACAATTCAACGGACATTGACAGCACGCTGGCAAACTTTCTGGCGGTGAGTAGAAATTCTGCCCTGGGTCTCAGTCAGGGGACGACAGGCAGGGCTCCGAGTCACCACCTTCTGACAACCTGAGCTGTGCTTGTGGAGAAAAGTGGCCGAACGTGCTTTTGCTGGGGTGGAAGGCAGGGGGGTGGAGGATGAAGCTGCTGGGCGGGGTTTCAGGGCTGCTGAGTTTGGAGGACTCGCCTGGGGTAGCGGCTGCTCTCTGCGCGTAGGGGAATACGCTGATTGCCCCAAATCTGGGGCTTCAATTCATTTGTAAACTTTTTGTGCTTTCAAAGGAGATTGATGCCATTACAGCTCCGCCCCAGCCTGCTGGATCCACGGGTGCCTCCGCCGCGCCCCCGCCGACTCCGCCGCGCCCAGAGCCCAAGGAGTCTGCCTCGAGCCATCCCTCGGCTACGGCGAACGGGACGGGCTCTGCCCAGCCGGCGGAGTGGCAATATGACACCCAGTGCTCGTTGGCAGGAGGTGAGCTCTGTTGCCGGGTTCGTCTGCCCCAGGGCGTGCGGGCAGCCATTCCAGCTGGGGGGGCCTCCATCCCCGGCAGCACGCCAGCCCCCGTGTCCCTTTCATTGCCTGGAAACAGCCGCGTTCTCTCTAGCTGTGATGTCAGAAGATGAATGTTGTGCTGTAGCCCCAAGAATGAAACACTTAGTGGCCGACACACACAGGTTTGTGTCTTCCAAGGGCTATTGGTGAGTGGCTGGCGCGTGGGGTGAGCGCAGGGACAGACGGTGGGGTCCCTGTCTCCTGAGGCACGTGGAGAGGGCCATGGTGCCTAGCGGCGGGCGGCGGGCTTAGGGGCATCCTGCTCACTCACGGCCTTTGGTTTTCTTCCCTCAGTGGGCGTGGAGATGGGAGACTGGCAGGAGGTCTGGGATGAAAACACTGGCTGCTACTATTACTGGAACACGCGGACCAACGAGGTGACCTGGGAGCTGCCGCAGTACCTCGCCACCCAGGTCCAGGGGCTGCAGCGCTATCAGCCCAGGTGAGGCCAGGCCACCTTTGGAGCACCGGCGGGGAGAGGGGGGGGGCCTGTTGGTAAGTGCTCGTCACAGCCTCTGCTTTCCCTCCCCAGCTCTGTGGCAGGTGTTGACGGGAGTTTCCTGGTGGCTGCAGACCTGTACCCTCAGGAGAAAGGGGTCGCTGTTGCCAGCATTAGCCGTGGGACTGTCCTACCCAAGCGAGAGGTGAAGAAGGTCAGTGGGAGTCACCCCTTTCCTCGTTCCTGCAGAACATCTCAATGAGACACTCCATCATGCTGCAGGCTGGCCTCGCCCCGGGCTCCCAGGGAACAGAGGGGCCAGGAAGGAGCTAGAGAGCCCAGAGGAACCTCAGCTAGCCACAGAGTTTGGACAGCTGGGTGTCTCTGAGGCCAGGCTCCCCACCCCCACCTCCCTGGGTGGAAAATCCTGCTCTAGTGGTGGGATGCGGGCTCCAAGTGCCATTCTGCTCTAGAAATGGCCCCGATGTGTCCTGTGTTCTCTTGGCGCCCTTTTACCCCTGTAGAAGGGCAGCTCAGTGCGCCAGCTGGGTGTTCTCTGCTCTGGTCACCTGCTGGAGGGGTCTGGGGGTGTAGGAATGAAAACTGGATTGGGTGGAGGGACTGTGTAGTCTCCGAAGCAAGGGCTGCCTTGCTGGGTGGATCCTGCGGTACTGAGCACGTTGCCAGCACTGGGAACTTCTGCTTCACCTGGGCACCGATTCCCTCTGTGGGGATGGCACAGTGCAGCAGTGGGCAGTACGGGGTACCTGACTAGTAGCGCAGAGAGACTCCCGCTCCCTGCGTTGAGTCAGCGAGGCTATCAGGAGCGATGCGGGCGGCCTTCGCTCTGCACACACCCTGAGAGCTGCCCCGGTGACTAAGACTATACCAGGCCAAGGAGTCACTTGGCGGGGAGGAGCTCAGGGTTTGCCATGCCGGATTGGAAGGACAAAGCCCAGAAGCCTCTGCTGCTTTGATGAAGGTGCAAGGAGCCCTGCACAGGGCAGTGATGGGCCAATTGTCCCCAGAGACAGCGGCCTCCAATAACCGGAGGCTGACTGTTGCCCTCCATGGAAACCCTGCTCCTCTTTCCAACCCTCCCAGACTATTGGCCTGACAGACAGTTTGTGGCACTGAGTTTCCCAGGCTGATCATGTAGAGAAGCATGTATTCTCTTTCTGAGTGCGCTGCCCGGGGGACTCTCTGATTGTGCCCCTGGTTGTGTGGCTGGGAAGCGTTCTGTCTGCACTGTCCCCCCTGTGTAACATCCCTGGTGGGAGGCGGAGTTTGGAGAAGGACAGGCTTACTGTTTTATGGAGGAGTTCAGGGAGGGTGTGCCGTGCATAGGGGGCCACGTAGAGTATCTGGCTGCATGGTAAGAGAATAAAAACTACTGGCCATCTTCTAGTGTCCCTCTGGATCAAACATGCCTTCCCCAGGAGGCCTGTGTTCAGTTCTGGGTCCCTCGTCTCATGAAGGAGACGGGTCAGAGGCAGGCGATGAGAGTGATCTGAGGCTGGAAAAACATCCGTGGGAAGGGTCTGCAAAGGCTGCAGCTGTCCAGCTTAGAGAGGACGTTGCAGGGGTGAGGGAGAGGAGGAGGGCCAGACTCTCCCAGTAGCCCCTTCTCCCAGGCCGCACTCAGGAGTCCCTTGCTAAGAGGAAGTCCCTGTACACCAGGCCCAATTGATGTTTGGGTCTTGCAGGCCCGCAATGCATCCCGGACGCCAGCAGCGCCCAGGGTCTCAGAAGGGATCGGCCATAACTCTGGGTGTTTGCTGGGTGGGATGCAGCGGGTTAAGTACTGAACCTCTCACTGACAGGGTTAGGGAGATACTTTCCCTAGAGGCTCGTTGCTCCAGAATTGTCCACCCCAGGGTTCTTGCACCTTCCTCGTAAGCCCCTGGCACTGGCTGGTATCGGAGGCTGGAGGATGGCTGTTCCTGGATTGCTGCAAATCACTGGCTGGGAAAAGGCCCTCACTGCAGGGATCTCTACAGGGGAGTCTTGTTCCTCCCTCTGCCGCTGTCTGAGCGTCCCTCGGGCTGTCAGGCAGCGGCGATTCTGGAGCGGGGAAAGCCTGTGACTCTTGTCTGTCCCGCAGGAGGTGAATGAAGGCGTCCAGGCCCTCTCGAGCAGCGAAGAGGAGAAGAAGGGGGTGGCGGCGTCCCTGCTGGCTCCGCTGGTCCCCGAGGTGGTGAAGGAGGAAGAGGAGCGCTGGAGGAGGAAGGTGATCTGTAAGGAGGAGGTGGAGCCGGTGCCAGCGGAGGAGGTGGCCGCGGGGGAAGCGTCGGTGGCTGCTGACGAGCAGGACCCTTGCAGGGATGCTCTGGAAGACCCTTCCCAGGAGGGTCTGTGCAGCGTGGTGCAGTCAGGGGAGAGCAGCGAGGAGGAGGAGGAGCAGGACACGCTGGAGTTGGAGATGGTGTTGGAGAGGAAGAAGGTAAGTGGCAGCCGGGGAAAAGGGGGCAGGTGCTGCCGGGCTGCTGTTGGAGGGAAGCCCTGTGTCATTAACAATCCAGGCGGGCCGAGAGAAAACCTAGTCTCAATCGCCACCCAGCCCCTGTGTGATCTGTGCCAGGGACTTAGTGGAGATTCAGGGGCTGCCCCCATCACCTATGGGGCAGAGTGCCCAGGGAGACACCACACAGTACGCTCCTCCCTCCGGCAGAATGACCCCATGGCTGGGTCTACGCTACAGGTGCTACGGTGCTGCAGCTGTGCCGCTGTAGCGTGGACGCATCGTACAGCACCTCTGGCCACCGTAGCTAGGTCGATCTCAATTTGAAGTGTACACCAGGCCGAAGTAGCGCTGTGCTCCCCTGCGGTAGGCAGCAGGACTGGAGTCACGGGGCGCAGCATTGGCCGGAGCATTGCATGTAGAAATCCGGGGGGAGGTGTTTCGTGAGCCCCTGTCTGTTTAGCTGACACTGTTTTCAATTCCCCAGTTGGAGAGAATTGCCAGTGGATGGAAAGCTCTGAAAAGAGTCTCTCTCTGGGAAAAGGGATTGCTCCCCAACCCCGGGGGTCAATCTCAGGGTTCCCATTATTACCAACGCCTTCATCACGGGCACGCTTGTGCCAGGCTGATGTGACATCCGCCAGTGGGGCTCATGACAACCTAGGCTAGTGGTTCCTAGACTTTTCACCAGGGCAACTCACCAACTGCACCTTGTCTGTTTTTTGGGGACCCACCATTACATGTATGCACCTCCGCACTCGCCCTGAAGGGCTAGGCCTGGCTTCCTGCTCTGGGCATGGTGACCTGGCACAGGGGGTCGCAGCCCCACTCAGGTTTGGCCTGGCCATCCTCTGTCGTGAGGTCACCTTCTTGCGTATCAGCATGGTGCAGCTGCTCCTGAGGTTTTGCCCTCCTCCCCTTCCCTTGTGAGAGTGCTGGGGGCTGCTCCCCGAGGCGGCACTCACCCTCTGGTCTTGTGGCAGGCGGAGCTGCGAGCCTTGGAGGAGGGAGATGGCAGCGTCTCGGGTTCCAGCCCGCTCTCAGACGGGAGCCAGTCAGCATCTCTTGACACAGCGCCCAAGCCGGCGTCCATGCAAGGGAAGTGGAAGCTTTTTGTCGGGGTTGCCAGCCCAGAGTCCACTAGCCGCGGCTCTAGCAAGACTGGCCGAGAGACTCCAGAAATCAAGGAAGCAGGTAATTTGAGAGACGCCTCCTGGGCCACGGCCCTCGCTTCCCAGCCAGTGACTGCAGGGAGAGCCGCGCCCTCGGGCACCGAATCACAGTGTTCAGCGCGGGCTCCTCCTTCACATCGCAGGGGTTGGCAGCTCGAGGGTTTGTCTGGAGGGGTCAGGGCACGGGCCGTGGTACTGCCAGGCTGAGCTCTTTCCTCTGTCTGCAGCCCAGCAGCGGTAATGCCTAGGTTATTAGCAATGAATGTCTTCTTGGGGGGGCTCTGCGTATGCCCTCTACAGGGAGGAGCACCCTGGCACTTTGAGCCCAGAGCCCTGCAAATCTGCAGATAACTTTTTTATATCCACGGATGCGGATATTCGTGGACCACTTTTGCAGCCCGTGGATCAGGTGCGGATACAAATTTTGTATCTGCGGGGGGCTCTGCTCTCGGGGAGCACGCGGGGCGATGGGAGCAGTTCGGAGCTGGCTCGTGGGACGGAGGTTGGCTTCGCTGTATCGGTTCGTAGAGTCTCTGATCAGCACTAGCCATACAGGGTTCGCACTGCACCGCAGAGCCTGGTGGCTGTGGGCGACATTGCCACCGAGCGACTCCATTCCTGACAGGGTGCTTGGGGGTACGTCCCATCTGCCTCCAACAGTCCTGTGGGGTGGTTCAAGGCCTCTGGAGAAGATCTGGGGGCTATGGGGTCATCAGCATATGTATCAAACCTGCTGTCTGTCCCACCTCTGAATGGGGCGGCCACCCGCAGCTCCCAGTGGCCACTGTTCGCCATTCCTGGCCAATGGGAAGTGGCGCTGGCTGCAGGGTTGTGCTGGCCACGGCTTCCCACAGCTCCCATTGACCGGGAACGGCGAACTGCGCACTGGGAGCTGCAGGTGGCCGTTCCTGCGGACCACGTAAACAAACTGTCTCACGGCCTGCCAGCGGATTACCCTGATGGGCCGCAGATTGCCCATCACTGGACTTGAGGCTGCAGTGGGGATGTTTGGGGGCGCTCATAGACTGCGCTTGCTGCTGGGGTCTTGGGTGTATTGGCCAAGTGCCCCCCTTTCTGTGGGTTGGCTACTTTTGGGCCTGGCCTTTGCTGCCGAGAGCTAGGCCGGCGTCTCTTGCAAACCAGAAGTGCAGCACGCTGGGCAGTGCCTGGGGAGCTCCGCATGGGCCTGCCCACCTGGTCAGTGGGGTAGGGAGCAGGTCACACCAGTCCTTGCTCTGCTGCACTGGCTTCCTGTTGGCTTGCAGCACTGGAACCAGTCTGTGAGGCTCTAAACAGCCTGGCAACCTGAGAGTCCTCTTTCCCTGGGACCTCCTGGGCAGCAGCAAATGCTCAGTGGCCACTGACCCAGCCCACACCTATTGACTGCTAGGGCTGGAGCATGACATCATGCCATGACCATCACCACTGTCCGAGCTGAGGGTCTGGGTGCTGGGCGTCCCCCGGGCCCTCATGGAACGCGCTCTCAAGCCAAGGCAATGAGCAGAGGCCTGGCAAGGAGTGCTCTGCGTGCCTGCACAGTCAGCCACAAACTCTCCTCCTTCAGCCCATCTCATTCCACCATGAGCCTGAGACCCTCCTACTCCAATCCCCTCTCGCCCCACTCCACGTGAAGGCCCCACACCAGCCAATGGCTCTGCTTTCCTCCACTGCCTCGTGTACCTAGACCCAGCCAATAGGACATTTATCCACATGGTTTCCTCTATTCTAGAAGGTCCCCAGACCCTCCAGAACAGCTCTCCGCCCTTCAATGGCTTGGGAGGCAGAGTCGGACTGACCGGGGGGGAGAGGGGAAGGCCCAGCCAGTCCGTGAGAGAATGCACAGGAGTCCTTCATTTAGCTCTGGAGCTGCTGAGGCCTTCAGATCCTCTAGTACCATGAGTCACTGCAGAACAGTCTGCCAGGAGGCGGCCACCAAGATATAGCCCAACATAGCTGTGTCCCACGGATCGGCCCCTCCGGCACCTGTCATGGGCAGCTGCGCCCCACAGATCGGGCCTCTGGTTTCTGTGCCCCACTGACTAGGCCACCAATTCCCTACCATGCCCCTAAGGACTTTTGGCTTCAGGTCCAGAGCGCCCTTACGGATTCTCTCAATGTAGCTGACAAGGTCTTAGTGGCAGGGACAGCCTGTTACTCTGAATGTACAGTGTCTAGCACAGGGGTCCCATGATCTCAGCTGGTTCCTAGGTCCTGCCATAATGACTAATGAAAGTACGAGCCCTTTCCAGGGTTGTCCTCCTGTCCTGTGGCAGAGCAGCACGTGCAGTTCCCTTGGTCTGTGGGGATTGGGCAGCAGAGGCAGAGAAGCACCTGGAATGCGCTCAAAAGGCAGCGCAACCTTGGCCCTGCTTGGATACTTGGGGCAATCCCGAGTGCAGCTCTCAAAGGTCACAGGGAGGCCTCCTGAAAGGACAAGCCAGGAGGAGTCAGCAGGTGCCAGACCCCCTCCCCCTTGGCCCCCTCCGGGAAGCCCAGGCCAGACTTGAACTTTTAAAATAGGATAGAATAGGGCCGAGCTTTTTTTAATTGACTCCCTCCCACGGCTGCCCGCTGATGGGGGGCCATGCGGTGGGTGGCGACTGCGCTGCCCTGTGGGAACAGTTAGGAAGGTCTCGTGTTTTCTCTCCCTCAGCAGCGAGTGCAGAAGCAGCTGAGGAGACATCAGACAAAGAGCTGGAGCCAGAGGAGGTCCAGGACAAAGTGAAAGCGCAGGGAGCGCCCAAAGCAGAAGAGGAGGAGCAGGACCTGAAGGTGGGTGGGCGGCAGGGGAAGGAAGAATTTGGTATTGACTAGTGTTTGGGTCACAACCGCGTTTCTGTCCGGGGGGGAGCGGGGTGTCCCCAGATTCCCTCCCATCCTCATTCTTGAGGGAGCCATGTCGGGGTTGGAGCATGGCCTTGGAGTCCTGGAGTGCTCCGTTGGGTGGCCCTCTGACCTCGGCCCCAGGTGAAGGTGGGAATTTGGAGGGTTGGGGACAGCGGTGGAGCTGGGTTTGGGGTATGAGAGTCTTGCTCGTCTCTCTGCTCCTGAGAAGCAGTCTAGCGCGTGCTGCGGGCGTGGAGAAGGCAGTGGCTGGGTGGTGGTGGTGGGTTGCCTACCACTCAAGTGTAACTCCTCCAAGTCAGAGATGGAGGAGGCTTCTTAGCTCATCACAGGGCAGGCTTGTTCCCTGCTACGTAGAATGAAATGGCTCCATTTGCGGAGTGCTGGGATTGGGGGAGGCAGGTTCTGAGCCAGGCACGCTGTACAGCCCACGGGCACCGTCTCACTGCCTCCCCCGCCTGCACTTAGCTACCCTGGGGAGCAGGGGCATAGCTGCGTGAGCGCTGGCAGTCCTCCTCTGGGGCCTGCTGGCCGATCCTCACCCCTTGTGTGCCCTGTCTCTCGGCAGTTTCAGATCGGAGAGCTGGCAAATACCCTGACTAGTAAGCTGGAGTTCCTGGGCATCAACAGACAATCCATGTCCAACTTCCACATGCTGCTGTTGCAGACCGAGGTAACGGAAGCCTGTGTGTGTCCCCGGGAATCAAACATCCTTCTATTTCCTGAGTGCTGGAAGCCAAGCTGAGCCCAGTGCTCTAGCCCTAGGCAGCTAACCACTGTCCCCCTTCATTGTCTGAGTCCTTCCCCCAGCCCACCCAGACAGGACTGGTCCGTGTCCTTGCCCAACACCGTCCATGGGGTAGGGTCCTGCCAAATTCACAGCCATGAAATCTAGTCTCCCCCTGTGAAATACGGTCTTGTGTACTTTTACCCTACACTATACCGATTTAATGGGGGAGACCAGCGTTTCTCAAACTGGGGGTCCCCGAACCAAAAGAGGGTTTTTGGGGAGGATCACAAGGTTATTGTAGGGGGGTCCTGGTATTGCCCGTGCTGCTTTCAGAGCTGGGGGTCCCAGAGAGCGGAGGCTGCTGGCCAGGCGCCCAGCTCTGAAGTCGGCGCTGCTGCCAGCAACAGTGCAGAAGTAACAGTGGCAATACCATACCAGGCACCCTTACTTCTGTGCTGCTGCCTTCAGAGCTGGGTGGACTCCTACAGTTACAACACCATGACATTTCAGATTTAAAAATCTGATATCATGAAATTTACCATTTTTAAAATCCTATGACTGAAATTGATCAAAATGGACCATGAACTGCCCCCTTGCCAGCAGAGGGCAGCAGCGCACCCCCTAGTGCTGCCCTCCTGCTGGTTTTACTATTGCTGTGCTCTCTTTGATGCCAAAGTGTGACAGCTTCTCTGCTTGCTGGCTCTAGACCCGGATTGCGGACTGGCGCGAAGGAGCTCTCAATGGAAACTACCTCAAACGCAAACTGCAAGATGCAGCCGAACAGCTAAAACAGTATGAAATAAACGCCACCCCTAAAGGCTGGTCCTGCCACTGGGACAGGTACGCACTCTTCTCCCCTTTTCACCTTTGACCTTTGACCTCTCAGACATGATTTGTGACCATCACCACCTGACGACGTTGGCGACATCTGTCCGGAGACTGAGAGCAGCTGCAGTTAGCGGTGCTGGGCGGGCAGAGAACCTCCGGCACTCACAGAGTTTGGGCCAGCCACCAAATTGGAGACCTAAAAAATCCCTGTTAAAAAAGTGTTTGGAATGGCTTTGGGTCGGTGATTGGACAGAGCTGGTTTTTACTCTCCCGAGTGTAGCTGCGCTGAGGAGGGCGGGCTCGGGGGGTCGCGCATGCGAGAGCTCTGTGCACTTTGCAGGACCTCTGGATCTCTACTCCGGCTAACAGCGCTGACCCTCAGGAGAGCCCCCCTGGCTGCGGATGGGAACCAAGCGCAAGATTACTATCTCCTACCGGCAGGTCAGACCCAAACATTTCTTTTTCTATTTGGCTTTTCTGGATTGTTTGTTCATTGTTTGAAATGTTTGCTCTTTTGTTTTTCAGCTCCCAGAGCCTCTCCCTCTCTCTAGCGTTCACTGTATGTTTGACACCAAGAGTATCATGCATGGGACCTCGACAGCCCATGGGGGGAGCAGCCGCCTTGCTTAAATTGGGCTGCTCCCTGTTTGTACTCCGGAGGCAGTTCTTAACAGTCCTGTTCCTAGAGAGAGCTCGCCCCCCCTCTCCTCCCTCCCTGTGAACATTAGCCTGCTTTCCCAGCCCTTCTCTCTTGGTGGGGAGGGCTCGGGGCTGGATTCACAGAGCCAGCAATGCAAACAGCTTTGAGCGAGCTAGCTCTGACCTCCCGCCTCCCTCCTCAAAGTTGTTTGTTGCCTTTGTGAATGGCAGCCCTGGTAGAAGCGGGGCTTCCCGGTGAGAGCCCAGCGCTGTCGCGGGAAAGGCCCATGTCTGCGTGTCGCTGCAGGGGAGGGAACGTAAAGCCGCCTGTTCTTTCTTGTGATCTAGGGACCATAGGCGCTATTTCTATGTTAACGAGCAGACAGGAGAGTCCCAGTGGGAGTTCCCGGATGGTGAGGAGGAAGAGGACGGGCAGGCCCCGGACAGTAAAGCTGAGGCCGTTGCCAAGCCAGCTCCGAAGGAGAAAGCGGAGTCCGGTGGTGACTCCACGGTGGAGAACTCCACAGGTACTGGGGGGCCCGGGCTGTGAGATGGGGGAGGGGGAAGCAGTGTGGACTGGCTAGAGGGAGGGGGAGGGTGGCTAGCAGATGTTGGAGAGCTGCTGGGACCAAGGATGGTGCAGTGGTTAGAGCACTACCACTAGCAAGACCCGGCTCCAGTTCCCTGCTCTGCCATGGATTCATTGTCTGACCGTGGGCCAGACTCTTGCTGTCAGAGTTGCCATCTGTAACTGGGTGTGAGGGCCAATCTGCAAGGTGGTGAGGGGGCCCCGATGGTGGGTGATAGGGCCAGAACAAGCTCTCTCAACCAGAAAAAGAGAAGAGGGGGTCTCTTTGCTGCCATCGAGCGGTGGCTCGACACGCCACCAGGTTTTGGTTAGCCAAGGAGAGCAGCTGAGCCGTGGACGGAGTTAACCCAGAAGGGAGGCGCTGTGCCCGGGGCAGCTGGAGTCGCACTGCCCACGCTTCCCCAAGAGCCTGAGGGTGCGCAGTCCCTCGCCCTATGGCTTGGGCAGCGAGCCACCGAAGTTGCCAAGGAGCAGGTTACCCCTCGGGGGAGGGGATCAGCACAGCCGAGCGGAGAAATGGGTGGGTTGCGGCAGGAGCAGTTCCAGGGTGGGTTGTCAGGCATGCACCAATGTGTCTCCTCAGGTCCTCTCAGCAAAGAGCCCTTCTCCGGCCAAGTTCCTGCCACGTCCCTCGTGCCACTCACTCCGTTTTGGACTCTGCTTCAGTCTTCTGTCCCCGTGCTCCAGCCCCCTCTGCCCTTGGAGGTGCCCCCGCCTCCCCCACCTCCGCCAGAGTCACCCCCACCACCGCCGCCGCCACCACCGCCTCCCGGGGAGGACGGAGAGATCCAGGAGGTGGAGATGGAGGATGAGGAAAGCGAGGAACCACCAGCCCCAGGAACAGAGGAAGATGCTCCTCTGAAACCGCTTCTCCGCCCAGCTGTCACCAGCAGCCAGGTGAGGGTGGGGAGCGACCGCTGCCTGGGGCGGGCCCAGGATTGGGTGTGCTGTGTGAGACAGGTAGCTCGGCATCATGCGGCCGGCAGCCGGGCGTGTTTCCCAGTGGCTCTGCTTTGTATCCTGCAGCAAGCCCCTGTCACCCCATGGGTAAGGGCTAGCTGCCTAGCAACTCTGCGTTTCTCTCCCCCCACCCCCTCCCAGTCCTGGGAGAGAAGGTTGACCTGAATGATATACCCTCTCCAAAAGCCATTGCCGAGGCCCCTCCCAAGAGGCAGTGGAAAGGAGGTGGTCCTGGGATGTTGCTCAGCCCTGGATCTTGGGGGGAGCAAAGGTCAGTTTTAATGGGCAGAGAGGTCATTGGGCGTGCCGGGGTTCTGTGCTGTGAACCGGAGCCCGGGGGATCAGTGGAGTTGCAGTGGATAAGGGGAAAAGCGTTCTGTAGTGAGCTGTCCGGCTCCTGCCTGAGGCCGGGCTGCTCTAGAACAGTCTAAACCCCGTATTCTCTGTGGGGGGATTTCACCCTCGTGAAATGGTTCCTCTTCCAGGAGTGCAAAATGTTCCCCCCACGAGGCGGAGAATCCATTTGTCTCCTGGGGCAGGGGCATGTTAAACCGCAGACCAAAGGTGCGCGAGATCCAAGGCCCGTCTATGCTAGTAGCTCGCTCGGCTGCACTCAGGAGTGGCCGTGCAAGGGGCAGGAGGGCTGGGCGGGGACAGCTGCCAGAGCAGGAGCTGCCGCCGGCTAGGAATTTGGAGGGGGCAGTGGGTATCAGAGGGACGGGGAGGATGAACCACGGGGGGACAGTGCGGTCCCCGAGCCAGACCAGTGTGGCAGGCCACCACAGTGGTGGGCTCCATCCATCGCTGGGTCACCCAGGCCTACGCTCAGCGCTGCCTGGGGCTGTCTCGAGTGGGCACGTCCCCTTGCCGGAGAGAGCCCCTGTCCGAGGGACACTGGGCTCAGCAGAGGGGCCCTGGAGATGTCTCCTGTGGTCAGGAGTCAGTCCAGCCCCCTGACTGGCCCCACCCCCTCTGCCTGCAGAGTAACTCCGAAGGCAGCGCCTCCGTCGCCCTCGCCGCTAAGCCGCAGAAGAGGAAAGCCGGTGAGATGAGCACGGGGCTGGTGCAGCGAGCAGCGACCATCGGCAGCTGTCCCGTTCTCTACAGCCAGCCCGTCATGGCAGCCAGTGAGTACCAGCCCCGGAGCGGCCTCCCCGAGGCCAGAGCGGCGTCTGCAGCGGGGGCTGCCAGGGACGTACCAACCTCCATCTCTCTGCTGTGTCCGCAGGCCCTCAGCCCATGGGGCTGAGTCTCCAACCGAGTTACCTGGGCGTGACCGCGCCAGCCATCATGAGCTATTCGGAGTGTGCCGTGCCCACCGGGCTCGCGGCCACCATGGCGCAGCCAGCCCCTGCACGAGGAGCCCTGCCTGTCAAGGGGGCCACGGAGCAGCCGCCTCCCCCTCCTCCGCCGCAGCCGCCACCTCCGCCTCCCCCAACCACCAAAGCACCGCCTCCCGAGAAACCTCGCAAGGGGAGGAGGGACAAGGTAGGGGTGGGCTCACCGCTGCCCGGGCCTGTGGGGAAGCCGCTGGCAGATCCAGGCTGTGCCTGGGTGGGCACGAGCAGCGAGAGAAGAGTCGGGACTTTGTGGCCTTGGGAGACAAGTCGCTTCCCTCTGATTTTCTGGAAAGGGGAGGCTGGCTGATGTGTGGAGAACCTGGGAGTCCCTGAGCAAAGGGCTGATGCTGCAGGCAGCTTGCCCCCCCCCCCCCCTGCTCCTGGGCAGTGGCTCCCCTAGTGTGGGGCAGGTCGACCCCCAGGAGTGTGGGGCCAGCGCTGGGCTCGCGGGCTTGCTGCTAGTCAGCATAGAAGTGACTGGGGGGAAGCGCGTTCTCTCACTGGCGGTAGCTAGACACACCGCTTCCTCGGAGTTCTTGGGGCTCCTCCAGCATTAAGGGGGGACTGTCCTCATCCCTGACTGGGCCTGTAGGCTTTACCGTAATACGCCTAATAAATAATGTACAGCCCCTAGCACAGCAGGGCCCTGACCTGTGGCTTGCAGGGACTACGGTAATATAGTCGTGTGGGGCAGGGCTTGTGCCCGCCCCTGACTCTCGCTGATCAGTCCCAGTCCTCTCCCCTCTCCCCTCCCCCATCTCTCCCAGCTGGCCGCTGGAGCAGAGTAATGTGCCCCCCTGCAAGTATCGGCCGTTGTTCCCCCCACACGCTCTGCCTCCGTCCTTGTGGCTGGGTCCCTCCCGCCCTGGCTCTGTGGGGGAGGGGCGCTCCTCTGTGCCCACAGTGCCACCTGCGTGGTCCCAGCTCTTCCCCTTCGTCGTGCGCAGGGCAAGAAGGGGAAAGCGAAGATGCCGTCGCTGGTGAAGAAGTGGCAGAGTATCCAGCGGGAGCTGGACGAGGAAGAGAACTCCAGCTCCAGCGAGGAGGACCGGGAGCTCACCTCTCAGAAACGTATTGAGGAGTGGAAGCAGCAGCAGCTAGTGAGGTATGGGGGGAGGGGGAACTGGGCCCGGAGCCTGCTCCTTGGGAGCCCTCTGCACCTGCTCGTAATGCAGTTCCTGCTACACCCCTGGCCAGGGCACCAGCCAGACCCCCCAGGTGGCAGTGTCAGCAGAGGGGTCGCAGGAGGGAGCGTTCTTCCCCTGGACAGGGCAGCATGGCTGTGCTGTGCTGCCTCTGGGGTCCTCGCCCCCTTTCTCTGTGCCACAGTCCCCAGGAGACCCTCTCGCTGGCCCGGCCTCTCAGCTGGCTGTATCCGTTGCCGTTATTGGGGTGGGGGCGGTTCTTTTCCTGTGGTTAGCCCGACAGCTGTGAACGGTTATTGCTCGTGCCTTAGTGAGGCACTTCCTGGCACCCTTCACCTATCTCCAGGGCACCCTCGAGCCCTCCCCCTCGGATCAGCCCTCTCCAGCCTGCCCACGCGAGCAGTGGGCTCGGCCCGGGTGGCTGCCCCGTTCATTGGAAATCCAGCTCCTCTAGCATGCCAGCGGAGAGCCCACTGCCCTCGGCACCTCCTCGCGGGGACAGCACTGACTTGCTGGGCCACTTACCCCACATTGTGCCGAGCTGGAGCTCTCCGCCAGTCACAGCGCGGCGGCTGACTCGTGACGTCACCTGCTTAACCACAGCCCTCAGCTCCTCTTCCAGCGTGTAGGGCCAGCTGTCCCATAGCCCCAAGCTGAGCAGGGTCCTTGGCCAGCACCTTTGGGCTCGCAGTGTAGAGTAGTGGGCCCTGGGAAGCGCCAAGGCAGGGCGAGAGGGCATGGCGAGGGAGAATACCCTGCTGCCTGCCACCACCCTGCAGTGAGCTAGGTGGCATGGGCTAGGTCCCTCCCGCCACTGTATTTACAAAACTCCCATGGGTCAAGTTTTGTGGCCACTCCCGCTCCTCCCCTGGGGTCCTTCCAGTGGCCGCCTGAGCCCGAACGCCCCACTCTGAAGATGTGTATAAGAAACTTCTTCCCTCTGCCCATCCCGGTGAGGGGAGCAGGTGCATGTGTGCAAGGAGGAGGGAGGGGTAGCTGGATCCTTCCATCCGATCTGCGGCGGGGGAAGCCTGACCTGTCATACATTGAGTGTGAGGGGTGGGGACAGCGCTTGACTGAATCCTTCCCAGCCCCCAGAACTGCTCCCTGGCACAGCACCTTCTAGCGGCCCCAGGAGGTCTTAGGCATATGGCCAGTTTCCTGCCGACACGCTCCTGATGCTCTCCGGAGGGCTGATTTGGCCATTCTGCGTCAGAGGCAGCTCTGTGAACTTCGCATCGTGTGCACGTCCCCTCTGTGCGGAGCCCACCCCACCCCTTGCCAAGGGCAGATCATGCCCCTGAGGGTGGGCTGCACAAGCGCTGCCCGGACTCCTTTGCCGGGCCTGAGGTGCTCTTTGTCCCCGCAGTGGCATGGCGGAGAGGAACGCCAATTTCGAGGCCCTGCCGGAGGACTGGCGAGCGCGGCTCAAGCGGAGGAAAACCACTTCGAGCACATGAGGCATTGGCACTGTTTTTTGTTTTTTGTTTTTTTACCACGTGTACAGTTTAAAGCCTCTTACCGATACGACTGTTGTCAATAAATTGTAACCGTTTGGGGCATCCCGTTTCAGTTGAATGGGCTGATGCAGCGATCCCCTAGCCTGGGACCTCTCCAGGGTGGGAGCCGGGATGTGAAAGGCCTGTTAGGTAATGGGCGGCCTTGACGGGCCTTGTGCTCGCCGTTCGGCTCCTCCTGGCACAGCGGGGGCACTGGGCATGAATAGTCCGTTTTGGGGTTGGGCTCTGGCAGCGACTGCACCAGGTGGACCCGCCCCCCGCACCACGCTTGGCCTGGCTGGTAGAGCCGAGTCGAGCTCAGAACCGTCGCCCTTCCCCTTGTGGCTTAAGGAGACCGGCTCTCTCGGACGCCTCCTGGCGTTGCCATTCCCAGCGTCTCTGGCCCGAAGGTGCTGCAGCTCTGTCCCGCGCCGAGTAGAAACCCGTGAACGCACTTCCTCCGTCAGACCAGCCAGTGGCCCAGACGAGCCCTTCACTCGATTCCAGGGCTGTCTGTGCAGGCCCTAGTGCAGTGACTAGACAAGTCCACCTTGCCTGGGCCATGAAACCTTTGGTCGGCCCTTGGACACGTTTGCGGGCCAGCTGGGAGGTGGTGGGAGGCCATGTGTTAGGAGCTGTTTGCTCTCTAGTTCTACCCTGTTCTAGGCCCCCACCTCCTTTCACTCCCCATCAGTCCCCCCATTTCAGCAAAAGTAGCTTTTGTCCCTGTTAAGCCCCCCCGCCCTCCCCCCTTTGGCTCAGAATCAGGTAAAAGTCACTTTCTTCCCACGGAAGGGAAGGCAGCTCGGGTTTCCAGCCGTTTGTATTTCTCCAGTTTTTGGCTTTGTAAATTTGTACATAGACATGAATAAAATCCCTTTTTATACTTCAGAACCTGCGTGTCCTTGTACTTCGGCGCAGGGTGGACAGTGCACTTGGGCTCAGGCCAGCGCCTGCAAATCGGGCTGGGAGGGACATGGTGGAGCTACGTTCTGGGTGACTCAGGCTCCTCCAGCCATCGCCTCTGCCAACTCACCAGCAAAGGGGGATCTGTCTGACTTGAACGGGCAGGTGCTCTTGGTCCGCGGGTGCACTAAAGCACTTGTTGATGCCGGCTCAGCCATGCCAGGGAGGCTGGATGCCACCTCTGACACCCTCTTGTCTTGCCTGTACAGTAGGGCCCATAACTAAGGCTGCGTGTCTGTCACGGATTCTGTGACCTTCGTGACTTTTGCAGCGGCTGTTGCAGCTGGCTTGGGCAGCCCATGAGCCAGCAGCAGCAGTTTAGGTGTGGGAGGGGGCTCAGGTCCAGGGCAGGGGGTTGGGGTGCAGGGTGGCGCTTACCTCGGGAGGGGGGGGGGGCTCCCTAGAAGCAGATGGCGTGTCCCTGCAGCTCCTAGGCAGAGAGGCCAGGGGGCTCTGCGCGCTGCCCCTGCTTGCAGGCACCACCCCCACAGCTCCCATTGGCTGCGGTTTCCAGCCAACGGGAGCTGCGGAGATGGAGTTTGCGGTGGGGGCAGTGTGCGGCGTCCCTCTGGTCTTCCCTCCCCTTGGAGCTGCAGGGACATGCCGTCCACTTCCGGGGAGCTGCGCAGAGCTGGATAGGGAACCTGTCAGCCCCACAGACGGAGACAAACAGACACACGCACCAGCAGGAGTCCTGGGCTGTGTGCCGCTGCCCGCACTCTCCAGCACCTGCGGTGCCCCTGGACTGCCCCCCCAAAGCACCCGTGGCCCCCCAGCCCATGATTTAGTTAGGGGTATATAGTACAAGTCTTGGACAGGTCACGGGCTGTGAATTTTTGTTTACTGCCCATGACCTGTCCATGACTTTTTCTAAAAATACCTGTGACTAAAATGTAGCCTTACCCATAACGCACTGGGTGCTGATCATGGCAAAAATCCATGTCATGAGGTTTTTTTTTTTTTTAGTCCTCATCCTGCCCTAGTCCCCTGTTCTGCCAGCCACTTCCTGCTCGTAAAGCCACGTTCTTGTGTGCCAAAAGGTTCCTGGCAGGCGGAAAGATTGTAGGTTTTTACCAAGTCACACCCGTGTAATCTTAGTGCAGGCATTCTCAGCCAGGGGGTAGGGGGTGCAGAGGAATGCCCCCCCTGCTGATCAGTGGAGAAGAGGGGAGCACCACTGTTCTAGTGCATCCTAAAGATGAAATTGACCAGGCAAATCCTGTCTAGGCGGTGGGGATATGGTGTCTAACACCCCTTGTATAAAGTGGGCTGGGCTGAAGGGAGCTGGAAGTTAATGAACCCAAATTGGTATGTTGGATATTAAGCTTAATTGGTGGACAAAATAATGAGGGGATGGGCTAGTTTACCCATCACTGCCTTGTTGGGTCCTTAAAGATTTTGTGGGAAACGAACAAAAAACCCAATAGAGGCTGCTGGAGTGAGCTTCACCATCATGGCTCCCCCGGTCCCCAGCAGGGACCTTTGTCATCCTGAGCCGGAGAGGTGCCCGACCAGACCCAGCCAGAGAGAGGGGCCCAGACGCTATCGCCATCGGTACCGGCTCCAGCTGAATCCCAAACACCACCTGGGATGACGGTTTTTACCACGTTTGTTTCCATCTAAGAGACTGTCAAGTGATGGGGGCTTTGCCTTCGGGGGCTGGACTTTAACAGCAGCTGTGCTCACAGCTCTAGCCCCTCAACCAGCTCCTTCTCTTTTCCCCAAAAGGGCAGGTTTGGCTGTCTTTAATACTGTCAAACAAGGGCTTTTCCTTCTGAAAACTCTCTGCCGTTCAAGGGGAAGGGAGGAAGGCTGGTGAAAATAAAAGCCTTATTTAACACTTCACATTGTTAAAGGCTTTACATGATTTTCCTTTTCTGTCTTCTTTTTATTGAAGTTCACAGTATTAAAAATCCTGTACACCGTCGTGCTCAGCAGGCTGAAGTCTCTGTATCCCAAGCTTTGCATGTTGTTTAATGATTATGGACTTGATTATGTTAACACCTTTAGCCTCTATAGTCCACCTAAATTAATACCAGCAGCCCAGTCCACGCAGAATCATGTGCAGGTCCCTGGGGCAACGGGGGCAGTAGGCCCCAGTCTCTACACTTACATGGGTGTGGGTCTATGGAGCAGTAGGACTCGGTCCATACACAAACGTGCAGGGGGTGGGGGCAGTAGGGCCCAGTCTCTCCACGCACACGGGTGCGGGTCTATGGGGCAGTAGGACTCGGTCCATACACAAAGGTGCAGGGGGTGGGGGCAGTAGGGCCCAGTCTCTCCACGCACACAGGAGCGGGGCTAGGGGGCAGTAGGACTCGGTCCATACACAAAGGTGCAGGGGGTGGGGGCAGTAGGGCCCAGTCTCTACACGCACACGGGAGCGGGGCTAGGGGGCAGTAGGACTCGGTCCATACACAAAGGTGCAGGGGGTGGGGGCAGTGGGGCCCAGGCTCTACACGCACACGGGTGCGGGGCTAGGGGGCAGTAGGACTCGGTCCATACACAAAGGTGCAGGGGGTGGGGGCAGTAGGGCCCAGT